GATTTGTGTTTACCAAAGGTTCAAGGGTAGCTTCTTTACTATCTAACTGTCTAACTTAACTCGCTTATTAAGCTATTATAAACACAGTCTGATGATTCTTTATTTCTCTCCCCTGTTATTCCTCCTCTTCCATTCTTTATATGTTAGGTGTTTTATTCTGTACTCTTTGTGTTTCCTTTGACTGCTTTTGTGAGTAGTTGATTTTATTTTTTGCCTTAGGTAGTATTTGGTTGGTCTGCTTTGTTTGCTGTGATTTTATTTTCTCTGGTGACATCTATTTAGCCTTAGGAGTGCTCCCATCTAGAGCAGTCCCTTTAAAATCCTGTAGAGGTAGTTTGTGGGAGGCAAATTCCCTCAACTTTTGCTTGTCTGGGAATTGTTTAATCCCTCCCTCATATTTAAATGATAATTGTGCTGGGTACAGTATTCTTGGCTCTAGGCCCTTCTGTTTCATTGCAATAAATATGTCATGCCATTCTCTTCTGGCCTGTAAGGTTTTTGTTGAGAAGTCTGATGATAGCCTGATGGGTTTTCCTTTGTAGGTGACCTTTTTTCTCTCTCTGGCTGCCTTTAATACTCTGTCCTTGTCCTTGATTTTTGCTATTTTAATTATTATATGTCTTGGTGTTGTCTTCCTTGGGTCCCATGTGTTGGGAGTTCTGTGGGTTTCCATGGTTTGAGAGACTATTTCCTCCCCCAGTTTGGGGAAGTTTTGAGCAATTATTTCTTCAAAGACACTTTCTATCTCTTTTTCTCTCCCTTCTTCTGGTACCCACTATGATGCAGATATTGTTCCTTTTGGATTTGTCACACAGTTCTCTTAATATTCTTTTATTCCTGGAGATTCCTGGAATCCTTTTCTCTCTCTCTGCCTCAGCTTCTCTGTGTTCCTGTTCTCTGATTTCTGTTCCATTAATGGCCTCCTGCACCTCATCCAGTCTACTCTTACATCCTTCCAGAGATTGTTTTATTTCTGTATTCTCCCTCCTAACTTGATCCTTTAACTCTTGCATATTTCTCTGCAGGTTCATCAGCATGGTTATGATCTTTTTTTGAATTCTTTTTCAGGAAGATTGGTTAGAGTTATCTCCCCAGGCTTCCTCTCAGGGGTTGTTTAGGTAATTCTGGACTGGATCAAATTCTTCTGCCGTGTTATGGTGATAGAGGTAGTCATAGGCAGTTGGCACGTGTGTCAGCTGGTAGAACAATGTCCCATACATGGGGAGCAGCTTCCGGTTTTATTTCCTGTGCCGCCGCGAGCGGAGCAGCCATCAGGGCAGCCCAGAGCACTGTGGGGAGATGCAGGCGTGCCAGGTGTGCTCTCCTGCGGGAACAGCCACCTTTCATGCCGTGTCCCCGCTTCCTCTGTCTGTGCTGGGCTGCCGCGTGCCGGCGGGGCCTCTGAGTCTGGCCCGGGCAGCTGCAGAGGAGGCTCTGGGCAGTTGCTGTGGGCGCAGCCTCTCCCCTGCTTTGGTGGGGCTGCGCCAGAGGAGGAATGGGTGGGAGGCTGTTCATCGCCGTGAGGGGCTTCACAGCTACGGTGACGCCCAGGGGGTTAGGGTGCCTGGAGTTCCCTGGGATTCCCAGCTGCTCAGCTGAGTGTGCTGGGATGCTGCCATCCAGTTGTGAGGCCCCTGTGTCTTTAAGATTTTCTAAAAGCACTCACTTTTCTTTTGTCCCAGGGGCGCAGACTCTGCGGACCTGCTTGCTGATTTTACTCTTGCATTTCCCTAATATCCAGCACACCACACAATGTGTGTCTGCTCTCTCAGTGCAGATGACTAGTGCTGGGTATTTAGCAGTCCTGGGCTCCCACTCCTTCCCTGCTCTGACTCCTCTCCTCCTGCCTGTGAGCTGGGGTGGGGGGCGCACTCGGGTCCCGCCGGCCCGTGCCTTGTATCTTACCCCCTTTGTGAGGTGCTGAGTTCTCGCAGATGTAGATGTAACCTGGCTGTTGTACTGTATCTTCTGGTCTCTCTTTTAGGATTAGTTTTATTTGTTGTATTTTCAAAAATATATATGGTTTTGGGAGTAGATTTCTGCTGCCCTACTCACACTGCCATCTTGGCTCCTCCTGCATTCATTATTTTTAATTCCCAAATTGTTCTTTTTCTGACCATCTTTTAAGTATTCCTGCTCCCCAGGGTTCCATCTCTGATACGCTTTTTTCCCCTTTGCATTCACTGTCCTGGCTTTCCTCAGTCTTTCCTGAACATTTTGATTACTTCCAGATCACTCTTTCTTACATTAACTTACAGACACCAGACCTGTATTTCCATTTATTTAACTGCAGTGGCTCTCCCAAAACAGATGACATGCATGATTTAACATTTTCAAACTAAATTTATCTCTTTGCTCTTCTTTTTCTCTTCTTGTATTCCCAATTTCCATGCACCCTATTTCCCAAGCCAGAAACCTGGAAATCATTTCTGAGTTCTTCCTCTCTCTTGTATATGCAGTTATTCACCAAATTCACTCTCAGAAATATTTCAGTGTCCCAGCCCTTTCCTCTGCATTACACTACTTGGAGTTCTCAGACCACGGTGGTCTCCTACCCAACACTATTGGACCAAGCTCCTAAGTAGAATGCCTACTACCTATCCCTGCCTCTCACTCCAGATCATTCTGCTCTACACTTCGAGTTACCCTCTTGAAAATAAATATGGTCATGTTAGTTCACTGTTTGTAAGACCTCTGCTATATCCCTGTTACCTAATATGGCAGTGTTTCCCTACATTTGTTCAAGAGAACTCTAATTCTACAAGATGTGACTAGGTAGTCTCTGAAGAAGAGATGCTGGAAAAAATGTTTAGAAGAATACTGATTTCTTTACTCTAGATTTCTCATCTTTTATATGCAATGTATTTTATTCTGTGTCTCCAATGGGGATATAATAGCATTCCACAAACTAGCGGGATCATGAAATTTTTTATTGTTGAGTATCAAGAGAGATGTTATTCAGTAAAATATTGGGAAGACACTGAATGAGTAAATTCCCAACCTTTAAATTGCGTTTAAGGCCTTCCACAATCTCCCATGTTAAATTACATATCCCCTACTATTCCTTTAGCACTCTTTCCATGTGTCCTTCTGAATTCATCTCTTAATGTACTAGGGCTATCTGTATCCATCTCCCTCCCTGACTGTGGGGGGCTGTCTTCCCCTGACTTTGGTGGGCTCTTTGTATCCTTAACACTAAGCAATGTCTAGCACATAGTAGCTCAATAACAACTCGCTGAATAATAAATGGATCTATTTCTAAAATAGAAATTTATCTGCTAACCATTTTCCCTAGCTCTGTTTTCATACTTACATGATCACTGGGTTCCTTAATTTGCAGTTGGGAAAAAGAATAAAATTACATATTAGAGCTGAAACTGACCTTCATGTTCATCCAGGCCAGTGTTTTTCAGACTGTGCCATGGACCCCTTTCCTACCAGTTCTGCTTCCCTACAAAGCTATCAAAGAGGAATGGGACAGAAAAATAGGCATATGAAGCACACATTCTTTTAGCACTTGTAAATGTTGGATTCCTTAAATTCCTTTTGAAAAAAAGGTTCCAGGGCTATAGTTTGGGAGCCATTGATCTAACATCCAATCCCCTTGTGTAAGAAGTGGTAACAGACCTAGTGGAACTGGCTTTCCCAAGGTCACAAAGTACTTTGTAACACAGCCAGAACTAAGGCTCAGATGATCTTACTCTCCCAGTGGTGCTTTTTGCAAAATTCTGAAAAATGAAACAGTTCATTAGATTATGGACTAAAATTCTATTATGTGTTCACACAAAACCTATACACAAATGTTCATAGCCACCTCTATTTGTAATAACCCAAAACTGAACACAATCTAGATGACCTTTAACAGGTAAATGAATAAACTGTGATACATCCATGCCATAGAATACTACTTAACAATAAAAAGGAATGAATTATTACTATATAGTTGGCCCTTGAATAACAGGTTTGAACCACATGGATTCACTTATACATGGATTATTTTCAGTAAATATGTTGGAAAACTTTTTTGAAATTTGTGGCACTTTGAAAAAATTCACAAACTGCATAGCCTAGAAATATCAAAAAAATTAAAAAGTTATGTATGTCAGAAATTCATAAAATACATGTAGATGCTAGTCAGTCATTTACTACCACGAAATACACACAAATATATTCTGAAGAGTTAAAATTTATCAAAACTTATGCACACCAATAGACCATATGTGACATCATTCGCAGTTAAAAGAAATGTAAATGAGACATAAAACATAAAAAATACGTGTTAACTAACTGTTTATGCTATCAGTAAGAATTCCAGTCAGTAGTAGGCTGTTAGTAGTTATGTTTGGGGGGAGCCAAAAGTTACACACAGATTTTCCACTGCATGGGGGATTAGCACCCCTAACCCCTGCATTGTTCAAGAGTCAACTGTACACACCAACTTGGATGAATCTCAAGGGGATTATACTGAGTGGAAAAAGGTTACATACAGTATGATTCCATTTTCATAACATTCTTAAAAGACAAAATTAGAGTAATGGAGAATTGATTAATGGTTGCCAGAGATGAGGAATGAGAGAGGGAGGGAGGTGTAGTCATGAAGGTGCAATGTGAGGGATCCTAGTGGTGATGAACTGTTTAGTATCTTTACTGTGGTGGTGAATAAAGGAACCTACATGTGTTAAAATGGCATAGAACCAAACACACACATAAAAACAAGTGTAATTAAAACTTGACACATCTAAATGAGATCAGTAAATTATTTCAATGTCAATATCCTGGTTATGATCATATACTACAGATTTGCAAGATATTACCATTGGGGAAAATTTGGTAAAGGGTACACAGGATCTCTTTGTACTATTTGTTAAAACTGAGTGTGAATCCACAATTATCTTAAAATAAAAGGTTATTTTTTTTTATTTTTTAATTTTGAGAAATTTAAAAATAAAACACAGATACCTCCAAAAATTAAAATGTTAATATGTGGGTTTATTATTTAGAGCCAAACTTGGGATGCCACAGTTTTTGAGTCCTGAAGCCCAGAGTCTTTTACGAATGCTTTTCAAACGAAATCCTGCAAACAGATTAGGTAAAACCTTAAATCAATTTGTTTCTTTTGTGTGTTTGTTGGTGTTTGTTTTTAGGGGATAGGTGAATATTTGTTTTTGTTGGGGGATATTAGATTAAGTATTAAAAGCAAAGACTAAACAAACAGCATGTATATCTCCTTGAAATTAAATTACCACTAAATAAAAATAAAAAACATCAAATTTTTGATAGGCGCAGGACCAGATGGAGTTGAAGAAATTAAAAGACACTTGTTTTTCTCAACAATAGACTGGAATGTAAGTATACAATGAAAACTTGCTTGAAATATTTTTTATAGTTAACACATGTCTAAGTCTCTCTTTGTTTCCTCCAGAAACTGTACAGAAGAGAAATTCACCCACCTTTTAAACCTGCAACTGGCAGGCCTGAAGATACCTTCTATTTTGATCCTGAGTTTACTGCAAAAACTCCCAAAGGTCAGGAGAAAATGTGAAGACCCAAATATAAGACAGTTTTTTTTCTTGTTTGATCAGAAAACCTTTTCCAGTGTAACTATGCGGTCCTTATATTTCCCCTTCATACTGTATTCCTGCCATTGTCACTAGATAATTAGTAAATCCTTTACATTTTAGAGCAGTTAAGATCCTTGTGAAATTTTAAAGTAAATTATGGTAAGCTTTGGTACTATTTATGTGGAGAAAGTATTTGGTTGTGCATTTATTTACCCCAAGCCATTTTTTTTTGAGAGGGCATCTCTCATATTTATTGATCAAATGGTTAACAACAATAAAATTCTGTATAGGGGACTCAATGCACAATCATTAATCAACCCCAAGCCTAATTCTCAACAGTCTCCAATCTTCTGAAGCATAACGAACAAGTTCTTACATGGTGAACAAGTTCTTACCTAGTGAATAAGTTCTTACATGGTGAACAGTGCAAGGGCAGTCATATCACAGAAACTTTCAGTTTTGATCACGCATCATGAACTATAAACAATCAAGTCAGATATGATTATTCATTTGATTTTTATACTTGATTTCTATGTGAATCCCACATTTCTCCCTTATTATTATTATTATTATTTTTAATAAAATGCTGAAGTGGTAGGTAGATGCAAGATAAAGGTAGAAAACATAATTTAGTGCTGTAAGAGGGCAAATGTAGATGATCAGGTGTGTGCCTATGGACTAAGTATTAATCCAAGCTTGACAAGGGCAACAAAACGTCCACAGATGCAGAAGATTTCTCTCAAAATGGGGGGTGAGGTTCTAAGCCTCACCTCTGTTGACCCCCAATTTCTCACCTGATGGTGAGAAATATACTTTTATTCTGTAATGAATATTAACTATTATAAAAGTATTTTTCTATTTTTGTTAATGCCAGTAGATTCCACTTAAGTAATTAGAATAACTATTTGTCATGTCCTAAAATATATTCTAAGGACTACTATGTACCATGATTATCCTAGAAATTATTTTTGATCCTTAAATATATCTGTAAATATAATAATTTTTAACTTGTAGTTTAGATTTCCAGATTATGACATTATATATTGAAGCCACTGGACTTAATTCCTTTCTTCTATACCTGTAGGTCAACCTTGTATCTCCCCCTAACCAGAAGCCCTAGCATTATTAGGTTATAATTTTGGGCTGCACTGTCTAATATGGTAGCCAGCAGCCACATGTACCTATTTAAATTTAAATTAATTAAAATTAAAAATTTTGTTTCTCAATCACACTAACCACATTTTAAATGCTCAGTAGCTACATGTGATGAGTGGCTACCTGGCTACCAAATTAGATAGCACAAAGAAAATTTCTATCACTGCAGGAAATTCTTGGGACACTGCTAATTTAGAATAACATTAACCCAGTAATTCATTTATTTATTATATTCTTCAATGAACTAGCTATTTTCTTAGCTCTGAAGAACTAGAATGTTAGAGTGGTAATGGCAATAAGCCATCAGAAGGAGAAAAAAAAACATAAGCCATCAGGGCAGCTCTGATACAGTGCCTCACTAAGTTATCCTGAAACCACTGGTGCCTGAGAAGTAGAATTCCAGGATAGGTGAGAAAAATCATAATATCCATAATTCTTCCCGAATTACTTTTCAAAGTGACTACCTTCTTAGTAATTTATAATTCTTTTCAGATTCACCTGGCATTCCACCTAGTGCTAATGCACATCAGCTTTTTCGGGGGTTTAGTTTTGTTGCTATTACCTCAGATGATGAAAGCCAAGCTATGCAGACAGTTGGTGTGCATTCAATTGTTCAGGTGAGTTAATTAATGTCTAAGTAGTTAAAAACTTGAAATACTGTAAGATATAGTTCATTGTGTGAATAGTCAGATTAAATTTGATTTGCTGACTTTAAGTGAGCAGGTTAATTTAAATATATTTTATATCATTGATATTGTCATAGAAATTCCTGTCATATGCCTTTGAAAAGTTTACATGTACCAGAATCCTGGATACCTATCTGACCTGAAAATGGAATTCTAAGAGAGTGGAGAAAAATTACCACCATCTTGTCTCTCCCCTCTCTTACACCTCAAAATGTTTATCAGGCCTAGTTTCTTTCATCTTCTGCCTCTGTCAGACCAGCTATGATGAACTGAGGTCTCCTGCTTCCCTGATGCCTTAGAACAGGGGTCAGCAGACTTTTTCTGTAAAGTGCCAGATAATAAATGTTTGAGACTTTGTAGGCTACATTATTCCTGTTGAAATACTTGATTCTGCCATTGTAGCACAAAAGCAGCCATGCTACCTAAATGAATGAGCATGGCTGTGTGCCAGTGAAAGTTTTTATAGAAAACCTGGTAGTGTGAACCAGATTTGGCCCATAGACTATATAGTTTGCCAACCTCTGCCATGGAAACATGAAAGAAATAAGAAGGAACTTAAGTCTTAAGTTTTCCAAGTTTTGTGTCCTTGTTCTTTTGGAACCCACATTGTCATTAGGAAGAAATGGTTATGGGTATTGCCTTGGGGTGTTCCTACTCATCATCCCATCTGTTTATCAGAGTTGGAGAAAAGGGAGGTAAAAGCCACAGAAACAGGTTTTTAGGTGTGTGTGTGTGTGTGTGTGTGTGTGTGTGTGTGTGTGTGTGTGTGTGTGTGTGTAGTACGTTAAATGTTATTAGAGGAACACAAGTAGTACAAACCATCAGATTTATTTCTTCCCATCTTATAATTATAGGAAGATAATTTTAATTTATCTTCCTAATCATAAAGGGAACCAGATATAGCTTTTGAACCACTGAGTTTTTTTAGGGTATGATTAGTGCTTGAATTTGCTTGATGATTAAGTTGCTTTTGCTTTGAACTTTTCTTCCTGAGTCATTCATCTTGTTTTCCACTTTCTAGAAAATCAATTTAAATGCTGGTTCTTGAACAAAGTCATGTTGAAATAGTCTGTCCCTTATACTATGACAAGCATGTGATGTATGGCAAGGTTTTAAGTTATGACTTTGGTACCTATGATAGAAATTGCAAACATACATGTATTCTAGAGATTTCAAATTTTAACCCATACGAAGCTAATAGGCAATGGGGCGGGGGAGGTTGCCCATCAGTATAGCCAAAGGCAGCATAACTTCCTTCAGTCTGTTTATGGAACCAGTAATTTGCTGTTATTAGTCCTTAACCCATTAATGGCTTCTCTAGTGGAAGTTGTATTGAAGCTATGACTTGAGGGTGGAGAAGGGAGGGCATGATTACTGATAGTCCAAAACAATAATAGGTATCACCTTCAAATACGATACCTTATTCAATCCTCACCATTATAATCTGAGAAAACACAGGTTCAAGGTTACACGGCCTTCAAGTGGTGCATCTGAGACAAGAATCCAAATGTTCTAATTCTGAATCTTCCTAAATCTTTCATACCAAAGGTTTCAAATTTCTCCCCTTTTGTAAAGGCACTTCAAAGACCTGTAGCCAATTGGGGAGTGAGATGGGCTCCATTGTAGGCAAGGCTGTTGGCCCCTTACCTAGCTCTGTGTTTTCTGTCATACATATTCCATTTTTTCTCTTTAACATAAGCTTTTTTTAAAGACATAGTTCTTGCTGTATGTTTTCTTGTAGACACACAATAAAATTGCAGTTGTACAAGAATAAACACTGTAAAGATCATTTTTACCTTTACTGATATTTATATTTATAGTTAACATCAACAATGCATGCTGAGTAACATTCACATTATAAAATACTAAAACCATTATGGAACTCTTTGTCAATTTTAATTGTGCTTGTAGCAGTTGCACAGGAACAGTATTCAGTTTACTGATGGATATGAAGTAAAAGAAGACATTGGAGTTGGCTCCTACTCTGTTTGCAAGAGATGTATACATAAAGCCACAAACATGGAGTTTGCCGTGAAGGTAAATGTTTGTAAATTTAAAATGTAATTTTAACAGTTCTTACTCATGAATGTCAGTATCGGTTAAAAATTAACACTCTTTTTCTTTGGTAAATGTGCCTTTTGTTATGAAAGGGAAAGGTAAATTAAATTTCTGGCTAGTCATCCTCAGAGATCTTAATCTGGAACTATGAATTCCCCTGTGCACTAAAGGTGAAGTAACATATATGCAGTTTGCTCAGGGCAGCACCAGTTTACAAGTGACTGATTTTGAGTAGCACCCCTTTTAGTTTCAGAAGTCCCTCATTTTATGGTCAAGGTGTCAGGGAATTTCTCAGAATTGTATTCCTGATTTTGTATGTTTACATTTTTCTGGTGAAAATATTCATACTACCCTTCACATTTAAATGGATTTATGAAACATGAAAAAAATAAAAACCACTGTCATAAATGTATTATCATTAGCTGTTTTAATTTCATCAGGTGTCCTAAGACAGTAAGAATTTTCTAAGCCAAAAACCAAAGCTCATGGCTCTACAATAAAATTAGAGTTGAAAACCCTTAGTTGTCAGTGAACAAATGCTGTATTCAAGTCTTTGCCTTTTCCCTTCCTGGGATGGTAGCCTCTACTCTCCCATCACAAGCAATTCAAGTAATGTTTAAAGCTTTCAACTTATCTTGAACCCTAGAACTAGTTTGTAAGTATGGGTAACTCATGTTTAATAAGTTGGGGGGGCATTAATTGTTATTACTTCCTTCTATCTATCCATCTGTCTAGATCTATTGTGATTTTACTGTGTAAAAGTAAAAATGAATGTTTTAGATAAGCACAGCAAATATGGAAGACATACAAGAAACTTGTTATTACTATTCTAAACCTGGATGTAGTTGCTTTAAAAAGTCATCAGTGTCCATAAGGATTTCTGTCAAATGTATGAATGAACCATAGAAATATATTTTAATTTGCTCTTCTCCTTCTTATTACTCATAGTGAAATCTGGGGTACATAGAAATTTTCAAATTGCTTCCATGAAAGGAGAGAAGGTGAATAATATACTTGGTAGGCAGCTTAAAGATGTATCTTGTTTCCATAAACACATCAGAGAAAAAGCAGAAATGTCCTAAGCCCTACTTTGAATTACAGAAACCAGGAGCAATATACCAAAACCTAGAGAATATATTCAAACTGTGGATTCTTATAACTTAAATTAGATTCATAAAACCAATCCCAGTACAACTCAATTCTACTGAAATTACTACAAACCTTAAGATCCACAAGCACAAGTATGGATATAATGTAAGATGGGCTCAAATTAGCAGATCCAAGGGAATGTTCATAGAGGTAACACCTCCCAGGGAGTTCTGGTTTTCAAAAGACTAGCCCTAGATGTCTCCCTTGAATTAGCATGTCTATTGTATATACCTTTCCTCTTAATCATCCATTTGCCTAATGCCACAATATCATTTGCAGTTGATTACAGCAGACTCCCAGATGTTTTTGTTCCCTGTTCCCCAAATACAGAACTGTTTGACAATTAAGTCCATTTCAGATGGCAAATTTGGCTCACATTGAGAGTTGCACGCTCTTTCCTAGGTTGCTGGAGCATTTGGGTATTTATTGCATACATTAATTACTAAACTGTTTAAATATTGAAAATATGAAAGTCACTAAATATTTTTCAGACTGCCCTTTGGAGGAAATGAAAGCAAAATTTATTGCCCTTTTTAGAATACACTACTTGACCAGATTAAAACATTAGGAGAAAATTTATAAGAAGCAGCTGACATAAAAGGGTTAGAAAGCTCTCAAGCATATATGGTCAATTAATATACAATAAAGGAGCCATGGATATACAGTGGGGAAATGACAGCCTCTTCAACAGCTGGTGTTGGCAAAACTGGACAGCTACATGTAAGAGAATGAAACTGGATTATTGTCTAACCCTGTACACAAAAGTAAACTCAAAATGGATCAAATACCTGAATGTAAGTCATGAAACCATAAAACTCTTAGAAAAAATATAGGCAAAAATCTCTTGGACGAGCCTAGTAAACATAGTATTCTTCATGTAAGTGTAGTTTAAAGATTAAAAAAAAAAAGAAAGAAAGAAAAGGGGAATTACTCCTTGATAGGATAAAACTAATGGTAAATCAAAGATTAACGCATGCTTTAAATATCCTTAATTTTGATCACTTAAAGGGTGTCAGATGATCGGCTATGGAGGTACACTTTTCTGATAATATTCCTTTCTCTTAATTAAAAAAAAAAAGCAGTTCCTGTGTGGTGACCTCCAGTGAGTTCTACACAATGGTATAAAGGGCATATCAAAGTGTGGGCAAAGGGTCTGTTTGTTTTTATACAGAAGATCAAAGCCTAATTTGGCTACCCAGAAAATGAACTAAGATACGATATGAAGAAGAACTTCCAACATCAGCACTCTCTGGAAGACTCATACCAGAAGATGATCATCAAAAAACCTCCACAAAGATCCAGGCGATGCTGCAGTTGTAGCTGCATCCATCCCACCGTTTCCTGGACTTGCCATTGGAATGAAGAAGGAGATATCTAAGCTGGCCTGTGCATACAGTAAAACAACAAATTTGACTGGATCTATACTGTTGGAACTCAACCAAGAATTAGGAGAAGTGCAAGTTGTAGACCTCCAAAATCTTAAAACTACAGACTATCTACGGTTAAAAGAACATATGGGATGTGAACAGTTCCCAGAAATGGGTTGCTTTAATTTGTCTGATTTCTCTCAGACTGTTCAAGTACAGTTGGACAATATCCATCATATCATAGACAAATTTTCACAAATGCCTAGGGTGCCTAACTGGTTTTCTTGGCTTCACTGGAGATGGCTGGTAATTATAGATCTGCTTTGTTTATGTAACTGTATTCCTATTATGTTAATATGTGTGCGCAATTTAGTAGATTAAAACCTATACATGCTTAAGTTACTCTACAAGAAGATATGTCAAAGAAATCAGTCCTCCCATGTTTTCTTCCATCTGCTACCTCTATAGCTTTTCTTCTTCCTTCCTAATTACAACCCTTAAATAGAATTCGTGCCTCATACCGAATTTACTGAGTATCATAATTCCTCCAAGTGGTAAAGATACCTCAAGACAAATGCTGGGCATAGAAGCCACAGGGCATAAATCTGCAAAGAAGTAAAAAGCTAACCTTTTCAAACAATATGGCTTATCTCTCACTTACCAACTTTACATCTCCCTGTAAGGCCCCGGAAGATGACTGGTTAGCCAGAAACGGGTAAGATTCCTCAAGGGAGGAACAACCTAAGACAGGCACAGTCACAGGGCGGCCATCAGGTGAGAAATTGGAGATCAACAGTGGTGAAGCTTAGAACCCCACCCCCCCTGTTTTGAGAGAAATCTTCTGTATCCGTGGATGTTTTATTGCTCTTGTCTAGCTTGGATTAACACATAGTCTACAGGCACACACCTGATCATCTACATTTGCTCTCTTACAACACTAAACTATGTTTTCTACCTTTATCTTGCATCTACCTACCCCACTTCAGCATTTTATTAAAAATAATAATAATAATAATAATAAAGGGAGAAATGTGGGATCCACATATAAATCAAGTATAAAAATCAAACGAATATTCATATTTGACCTGATTGTTTATAGTTCATAATGCATGATCAAAACTGAAAGTTTCTGTGATGACTGCCCTTGTACTGTTCACCGTGTAAGAACTTATTCACTATGTAAGAATTCGTTCACCATTTAAGAACTTGTTCGTTATGCTTGAGAAGATTGGAGACTGACAATAATTAGGCTTGAGATGGATTAATGATTGTGCATTGAGCATTGAGTCCCCTATACAGAATTTTATTGTTGTTAACAACCATTTGATCAATAAATATGAGAGATGCCCTCTCAAAAAAAAAAATATCTTGGATGTAACCATGAGCAACTTCTTTATGAACATATCTCCCCGGGCAAGGGAAACAAAAGCAAAAATGAACAAGTGGGACTATATCAAACTAAAAAGCCTCTGTACAGCAAAGGACACCATCAGTAGAGCAAAAAGGCATCCTACAGTATGGGAGAATGTATTCATAAATGACATATCTGATAAGGGGTTGACATCCAAATTACATAAAGAGCTCACGCACCTCAACAAGCAAAAAGCAAATAAGCCAACTAAAAAATGGGCAGAGGAGATGAACATACACTTCTCCAAAGAAGAAATTCATATGGCCAACAGGCACATGAGAAGATGCTCCACATTGCCAATCATCAGAGAAATGCAAATTAAAACCACAATGAGATATCACCTCACTCCAGTTAGAATGGCCAACATCCAAAAGACAGACAACAACAAATGTTGACAAGGATGTGGAGAAAGGGGGACCCTCCTACACTGCTGGTGGGAATGTAAACTAGTTCAACCACTGTGAAAAGCAGTATCGAGGTTCCTCAAAATACTCTAAATAGAAATACCATTTGACCCAGGAATTCCACTCCTAGGAATTTACCCTAAGAATGCAGCAGCCCAGTTTCAAATAGACATATGCACCCCTATGTTTATCGCAGCACTATTTATAATAGCCAAGAAATGGAAGCAACCTAAGTGTCCATCAGTAGATGAATGGATAAAGAAGATGTGGTACATACACACAATGGAATGTTATTCAGCCATAAGAAGAAAACAAATCCTACCATTTGCAACAACATGGATGGAGCTAGAGGGGAGTATGCTCAGTGAAATAAGCCAGGCAGAGAAAGACAAGTATCAAATGATTTCACTTATCTGTGGAGTAAAAGAACAAAGAAAAAAACTGAAGTAGCAAAACAGCAGAATCACAGAACCCAAGAATGGACTATTACCAAAGGGAAAGGGACTGGGGAGGATGGGTGGGAAGGGAGGGATAAGGAGGGGTGGGGAAGAAAGGGGGCATTATGATTAGCATGTATAATGGGGGGAGCACAGGGAGGGCTGTACAGCACAGAGAAGACAAGTAGTAACTCTATAGGATCTTACTACACTGATGGATAGAGACTGTCATGGGGTATGTGTGGGGGGACTTGGTGATGGGTGTCTAGTAAACAACAATGTTCTTCATGTAATTGTAGATTAATGATACCAAAAAAAAGGGCAGAGGAACTGAATAGACACTTCTCCAAAGAAGAAATTCAGATGGCCAACAAGCACATGAAAAGATGCTCCACATTGCTAATCATCAGAGAAATGCAAATTAAAACCACAATGAGATATCACCTCACTCCAGTTAGGATGGCCAACATCCAAAAGACAGACAACAACAAATGTTGACAAGAATGTGGAGAAAGGGGAACCCTCCTACACTGCTGGTGGGAATGTAAATTAGTTCAACCTTTGTGGAAAGCAGTATGGAGGTTTCTCAAAAAGCTCAAAATAGAAATACCATTTGACCCAGGAATTCCACTCCTAGGAATTTACCCTAAGAATATGACGTAGCCCAGTTTGAAAAAGACATATGCACCCCTATGTTTATCACAGCACTATTTACAATAGCCAAGAAATGGAAGCAACCTAAGTGTCCATCAGTAGATGAATGGATAAAGAAGATGTGGTACATATACACAATGGAATATTATTCAGCTGTAAGAAGAAAACAAATCCTACCATTTGCAACAACATGGATGGAGCTAGAGGGGATTATGCTCAGTGAAATAAGCAAGGCAGAGAAAGACAAGTATCAAATTATTTCACTTCTGTGTGGAGTATAAGAACAAAGCAGAAACTGAAGGAACAAAACAGAAGCAGACTCACAGAACCCAGGAATGGAGTAACAGTTACCAAGTTGAAAGGGACTGGGGAGCATGGATGGGAAGGGAGGGATAATGGGGAAAATGGGGCATTACGATTAGCACACACAGTGTAGGTGGGGGGACACGTGAAAGGCAGTATATACAGAGAAGACAAGTAATGATTCTATATCATCTTACTACACTGATGGACAGTGACTGTAATGGGGTATGTGGTGGAGACTTGATAATGGCGGGAGTCTAGTAACCATAATGTTCAAGTAATTGTACATTAATGATATCAAAAAAAGGGGTCAGAAAGCTACTTTAGTGTTTTAAAGGGCTTTATCATAATAATTAAATAATTCTAGCCAAGTAAAATTCTAGTTGTGGTTTTCTGCTTAGTTTCCTTCTGTCTGCCTTCAAAAAAATAAGCTTATTCTGCTTAATTAACTTTTTGTAAGTAGCTTACAACTAATGGGATATTCCATTGAAGCATTTTATTGAAGGAAGTAAAGTTAGTTCAATAAATAGATGCTAATGGTGGTATTATAGATACATCTTGCTCATAATTATCTGTATTGATAGGGGCTAGAAGTTGACTGAGTTCCCAAAGTTTTAAGATGTTCAAGGATGTAAGAAAGATAATGTTAACTGTGTTCTTGATAGTTTCCTTGAGACTTTTGAGTTTTCAGTTATGTCCTAAACTTAACTGCAAACTTAAACTAGAGAGACCCTGTAGGAACGTTACTCATGCATAGAATTTACTCGCCAATCTTACCTTCTATATCAAGACTTTCTTTCAAATCTTGATTACAGAGTCTAGTCAGGGAAGTGAATAAAACTGATTGATAAATTGCTTATATATACAGTGTTTACATAAGATATACCTAAGGTCTGTAGCTGTAAGTACTTAAGATCTATTACTGCATAATTCATGAGTTTTGTGATAAATTAAGTATTTGCCTTTTAGATCATTGATAAAAGCAAGAGAGACCCAACAGAAGAAATTGAAATTCTTCTTCGCTATGGACAGCATCCAAATATTATTACTCTAAAGGATGTAAGTAGATTCTTTAACTCACGTCATTTGAATCATTTGTCTAACATTTGGAATGTTTTCAAATATTATGTAATATACAAAGAACTCAGTATAGTAAGTAAAAAGATTAGAGGACAACATATATAACATAATTCCAGTTATAAGGAAAAATAGGTTTATATAGTTGATTTTTCTACTTCTTCAAGATAAAAAGTGTTGCTGCCATTATTGCAAATATTTAATATTTATATTTACTGAAACATTTGTGTACTGATATTTGGGATTGACCAGTCTCATAGTCCATAGGCTCCCTAAACTGTCTTCTACATTACTGCCAGAGAGCCAACACTCAGATCTGACCATGTTACCTCGCTGACTACAGTTCATACCCCTCCTCCTGCGTCACCTCTCGTCCCTGCCTGCCTTCACACTCCCTCACACACCCCATGCTCCAGCCATGGTCCAGTATATATACATTTTTAACATGCCTCATTTTCTCATGCTGCTCTGTCTAAATTTACGGTTCCCTCAGTTGAGAGTACCACTTCCCTTCTTTGCCTTGTTAACTACCACACACCCAAGAGTTTGCTAAGGCATTACTTCTTCCAGGAAGCCTGCCTTGCCTGTCACCACACCCTGGACCAGTGAGGTATCCTTTCCCTGCTGCCTATGGCCTTTACCATAGCAGAGCTGTTGGCAAAGGGTGTGAAGTCTCCAGGCAATACTAAGTCCTCTTCCTGATGGTGCTTTACACAGACTCAAAGGCCATATCTGGGTGTTGTAGACTGGATATGTCACATGGCAACTAAGCCAGAGGACTTCTAAGGTACCTTTACCTTGCATCTCTAGATTTTGTGAATTCCAATGTTTACCTTCCCTTCTTCCTAATCAAAACTCCAGTTTCCTCAGATTAATTTATCACTGCTCGTTGTTAGAAAGGGATTGTTAACCTAGTCCCACTAAAATGTGAAGCTTTTTAAAGTTAAGAGACTCTAATATAACCTCCACAAATTCAACCAAGTAAATTAAAAAGAATGTGTACAAAACACTTTCACTCAGCCTTGCATTGAAAATTCCATAAGCTGTCACTATTTTTTGTATCTTTGCTCTTTCCTTCATTTCAAATTCCAAAGTCTCTAAAATTTTCCCCACTTTTATTACAGAATCCCCAACATTTTTAAATTCTAATTTCTATTTCTGTTTCTCCCTACTCTTTGGGGTTAACCAGTCTCACAGTCCATAGGCTCCCTAAACTGTCTTGTACAGAAAATTTTGAGACCAGATACCTTGTCTTCTCCATATTTGGGGCCCCAGCACATGGTACCTCTTATGGAACTAAGTAAAGGTATTCAGTGACTTAATGGTGAAACGGGAATAAAAGGGACCGAAAGGGGTCATTTCAGTTCAGGATTGCCTGAAGTAAAATCCACAATTACAGGGAGCTTCATATTTGTACATTAGGAATAAACTAGTATGCTTCTGGGTGATTGGATGGAATTTCTCTTTGCTACTTGATCTCCCTACTTAATTCTTGTCACAACTTGGCTTTCAGTTTAATCAAAACCAGAATAATTCATTGTACTGTGTATATAAACATAGAAGATCTGCAATTGCAGAGGTTCCTAGAAAATCACAAAAATGTGTCTTTGTACCAATCCCTGTCATTATCAATACATAGGAAGGTTTCTAACAGCAAAAGTTTAGTGCCCTTTCATATACAATGCCCAGAGTGATTTTGATTGCCGTGAATTAAGTTTCAGAGAAGGAAATTACAGGTTGTTATTCTGACATTCAGTTTCATCTATTCCTATTTTAATACTATGTTTGTAAAACTGTTTGCAAATTTTATATCCTCCATTGGTTGTGATAAAATTCCTTGAATATAAAATGAGTTTTAATTTCACTCTAACATACTAAGCTTTGTTTTGAGCACACATAAACCTTCAGATAATTTTTTACATTGTGGTGTTGTGGTGTTGAATTTTACAGGTATATGATGATGGAAAATATGTGTATGTAGTGACAGAACTTATGAAAGGGGGTGAATTGCTGGATAAAATTCTTAGACAGAAATTTTTCTCTGAACGAGAAGCCAGTGCTGTTCTGTTTACTATAACCAAAACTGTTGAATATCTTCATGCACAAGGGGTAAGTTTTTTAGCATTTTGTATATACATACATACACACACACAAATACCTTTTTTATTAACTTTTCTTTCTTAATGTTTGAGCTAAAGTTACAAAGATAGAAGTTACTTTATGCATTATTGGAAAGTAACTAGTATTAGCTTAATTATTCTACTACTGTTCTTCCTCTATGTAAACTTCTCCCATTGAGCTTGAAATGCTACTTTGAAATCCTAGTTTGTTTATATTTAGTTCTTATGCTTCCCAAGAAAATGTGAGCGGGGCCATCTGACGTAGAAGCAGAACCATTTTTGCGAGTCCACTGTGTACTCTTTGAGAACTGGGCCCATCTCAAGTTTAGAAGAAGAGCCAGAGAATTATGGTTGTATTCACTTAAAAAAGGAAATCCTTCAAATGAATGAGGCGAAATAGTCACCTGGCTTCTGGCTGGTGGATGCTTTCCTTATTTCTTCCTGCATACGAGTTTTTAGTAAATGGCAGAAAAATCATACTTTTAAAAGAAGAGAGGTCTGGGAAAGAAAAGAGGTAAAGAGAAAATGAAAGGAGGGAGGGAGGAAAGAAGAGTGAAGAGTAATGAGAAGTGAGAAAAAAAATAGGGGATTACTTCTTAACGAGTTTATTTTCAATACATTTTCTAGTTTTGTCTTTACCTCTAGAAGCTAACAAGTAGTATTTGTTAATGTCATTCTAGAACTTCTTGACTTCTAGCTGGTCAAGATTCAGCTAATACTATAGCTAAAAATTAATGGAATTCAGTATTCACTGAAGAATTTATGACTTTGCAGTGACTTGCAAAATAAGTCATCTAAGTTCTTTTCCTAATGCCTCAGGAAGTAATTAGTTAATTCAAATGGTATGAAGAAGTAACGTTCTAGATATTAGGAACTAAAACTGAGATGACTGATTGGAATATAAACTGAGAATTTGTTGATAGAAGAAACACTTAAGTCTAATAAGGAGTGTCAAGCTTATGATAAAAGAAATATTCAAGTAGGCGATTGAAGGGGGAAAATAATACAAAACTCTAAAGGAACAGTATCTTTTTGTATATGTGACATTGTCACTTGGATATCAAATAGGCAATACTTAAAATTAGGATTTTTTTTCCTTTTTATTCCTAAACCCCATGCCTGTTCATTGAGCCTGTCAGCATGTTTGTTGTGTATATCCATTCTAACGTGCCATTCCACCTACTAAGAATGACCGCCCTCCTCTGTTCTGCCTAATTCATTGTGTTCTTCAGGTCTTGCATTGGATGGTACCTCTTCTGGAAACCCTCCCTAATCTCCCTAGTTATGTCCCCATCTCTCACCCAATTATTCTCTGCCTCCCCCAGTGCTGTGTAGGCTTCTAGCATGTAAAGGCAAGGATCTTATGGGTCTTGCTCACCATGTGTCTGTAGCTCCTTATATAATACCCTGGTACGTGATAGGCACTCAGTAAAGGTTGAATGAATGAGTAACCTGGAGACAGATATTATTGCTATTGGCATTTCTTATTAACCTACTAACTCAGTTGGACAAAGAGCAGAAAAGTAAATGCTATTCTTTCTTCCTCCACTCCTTGCCTCAGTTCTGTGGTAGAGAGTTATACCTACATTATTAGCATTTTATCCTGTTGAGGCAGTTTAAAGATCAGCACTCATCGTCTTGTTAAGGACATTGCCTGACAGTTTGTGAATAAAGAGTTTGCCATAATGGAAATGTATTGTTAATGTACCTCTTTAATTTGTATTCCGATTAGGTGGTTCACAGAGACTTGAAACCTAGCAACATTCTTTATGTGGATGAATCTGGCAATCCAGAATCGATTCGAATTTGTGATTTTGGCTTTGCCAAACAGCTAAGAGCCGAAAATGGTCTTCTCATGACTCCATGTTATACTGCAAATTTTGTGGCACCAGAGGTAATCGTGAAAGAGTTTGCTTGCAGTATTTCAGCATATTTAAAAACTCATTTGCTATATTTTATACAGAATAATAAATAGTTGTTTAATTGAAGACTTAACAGAACAAATAATTAGAATAAAATACCAGCCCTTTTTCTTCTATACTTCATACTGTCATCACTCCACTACTGCCATTATCCTTTTCCTGCCCTGACTTATGTTTTTCTGCATATTAACACATCTGTAGCTGTCCATTATCACTAACACTTTGGTGCTTATCAGTGCATGAAATTAAATGGAAACTAGCTTATTGTCCTCCTTTGTTGGATTAATATCTGGACTCTGTTCTGTTCCACAGGTCTGTGGGTCTGTTCTTGTGCCAGTACCAAATTGTCTTGATAACTGTGTCTTTGTAGTAGAGCTTGAAGTTGGGGAGCATAATCCCCCCACTTTATTCTTCCTTCTAAGGATTGTTTTGGCTATTTGGGGTCTTTTGTGGTTCCATATGAATTTTAGAACTATTTGTTTCAGTTAGTTGAAGAATGCCATGGGTATTTTGAAAGGGATTGCATTGAATCTGTAGATTGCTTTAGGCAGGATGGCTATTTTGACAATATTAATTCTTCTTAGCCTGGAGCATGGGATGAGTTTCCATTTGTTTTAGTGTCCTCTTTAATTTCTCTCAAGGATGTCTTGTAGTTTTCAGGTATAGGTCTTTCACCTCCTTGGTTAAGTTTATTCCGAGGTATTTTATTCTTTTTTTATGTTATTGTGAATGGAATTGCTTTCCTGATTTTTCTTTCTACTAATTCATTGCTAGTATATAGCAATACAACAGATTTCTGTGTTGTAAATTTGTATCCTGCATTTGCTGAACTCAGACATTAGTTCTAGTAGTTTGGGGTAGGTTCTTTAGGGTTTTTTTTAGGTATAATTATCATGTCATCAAGTTAAACACTGTCAGTTTAACTTCTTCCTTACCAATCTGGATGCCTTGTATTTCTTTGTGTTGTCTGAGTGCCAAGGCTAGGACCTCCAGTACTATGTTCAATAAAAGTGGGGAGAGTGGACATCCCTGTCTTGTTCCTGATATTACGTGAAAAGCTTTCAGCTTCTCGCTGTTAAGTATGATGGTAGCTGTGGGTTTGTCGTATGTGGCCTTTATTATGTTGAGGTACTTGCCCTCTTACCCATTTTGCTAAGAGTTTTTATCATGAATGGGTGTTGAATTTTGTCAAATGCTTTTTCAGCATCTGTGGAGATGATCATGTGATTTTTGTCCTTTTTATTGATGTAGTGGATGATGTTGATGGATTTTCAAATGTTCTACAATCCTTGCATCCCTGGAATGAATCCCACTTGATCATGATGTATGATCTTTTTGATGTATTTTTTAAATCAGTTTGCTAATATTTTCTTGAGTATTTTTGCATGTATGTTCAACAGGGATATTGGTCTGTAACTCTCTTTTTTTGTGGTGTCTTTGCCTGGTTTTGGTATTAGACTAATTCTGGTTTCATAGAATGAGCTTGGGAGTATTCCCTCCTCTTCTGCTTCTTGGAAAACTTTGAGAAGGATGGGTATTGTGTCTTCTCTAAATGTCTGATAAAATTCAATGGTGAAGCCATCTGGTCTGGATATTTTGTTCTTGGGTAGTTTTTTTATTACTGGTTCAATTTCTTTGCTGGTAATTGGTCTCTTCAGATTTTCTCTTTCTTCCTGGGTCAGCCTTGGAAGGTTGTATTTTTCTAGAAAGTTGCCCATTTCTTCTAGGTTACTCAGTTTGTTAGCATGTAATTTTTTATAGTATTCTCTAATAATTCTTTGTATTTCTGTGGTGTCCATAGTGATTTTTTCCTTTCTCATTTCTGATTCTGTTTGTTTGCTGGCTCTCTTTTTTTCTTGATAAGTCTGGCTAGGGGTTTATTTATTTTATTTCGTTAAAGAACCAACTGTTGGTTTCATTTGTTCTTTGTGTTGTTTTATTCTTCTCAGTTTTATTTATTTCTTCTCTGATCTTTATCATGTCCCTCCTTCTACTGAGTTTGGGCCTTGTTTTTTTCTTCTTTTTACAGTTTCATTAATTGTGAATTTAGACTGTTCATTTGGAATTGTACTTCCTTCTTTAAATAGGCTGAATTGCTATATACTTTCCTCTTAGGACTGCCTTCGCTGCATCCCACAAATTGGTGTGTTGAGCGGTTGTTTTCATGTGTCTCCATAATTGCTTGATGTCTGTTTTAATTTGGTCATTAATCCATTGATTTTTTAAAAGCATGTTGTTAAGCCTCCATGTGTTTGTGAGAGTTTTTGTTTTCTTTGTACAGTTTATTTCTAGTTTCATACCTTTGTGATATGAGAAGTTGGTTGATACAATTTCAATCTTTTGAATTTGCTGAGGCTCTTTTTGTGGCCTAGTATGTAATCTATTCTGGAAAATGTCCCATGTGCTCTTGAGAAGGATGTGTATCCTATTGCTTTTATTTTTAGGTGGAGCGTTCTTTAGATATCTGTTAGGTCCATCTGTTCTAATGTGTTGTTCAGTGCCTCTGTGTCCTTACTTATTTTCTGTCTGGTTGATCTGTCCTTTGTAATGAGTGGTGTGTTGAAGTTTCCTAAAGTGAATGCATTGAATTCTGTTTCCCCCTTTAATTCTGTTAGTATTTGTTTCATGTAATTATGTGTTCCTGTTTTGGGTGCATAGATGTTTATAATAGTTATATCCTCTTGTTGGACCTGACCCCTTTGTCATTATGTAATGTTCTTCTTTGTCTCTTGTTACTTTCTTTGTTTTGAAGTCTATTTTATCTGATATAAGTATTGCAACTCCTGCTTTTCTCCCCATTGTTTGCATGAAATACCTTTTTCCATCCCTTCAATTTTAGTCTTTGTATGTCTTTGCATTTGGAGTGAGTCTCTTGTCAGTAGCATATAGATGGGTCTTACTTTTTTATCCATCCTGTAACTATTTCTTTTGATTGGTGCATTCAATCCATTTACATTTAGGGTGATTATCAATAGATATGTACTTATTGCCATTGCAGGCTTTGGATCCGTGGTTACGAAAGGTTCAAAGACAGCTTCTTTACTATCTAACAGTCTGACTTAACTCGTTTATTATGCTATTATAAACACAACCTGAAGATTCTTTCTTCTCTCCCTTCTTTTCCTTCCTCCTCCACTCTTTATATGTTAGGTGTCATATTCTGTGCTCTTTGTGTATCTGTTGACTGACTTTGTAGGTAGCTGATTTAATTTTGCATTTGGTTAATAATTAATTGGTCTACTTCCTCTACTGTGGTTTTATTTTCTCTGGTGACAGCTACTTAGCCTTAGGAGCACTTCCATCTGGAGCAGTCCCTTTAAAATACACTGTAGAGATGATTTGTGGGAGGTAAATTCTCTCAACTTTTTCTTATCTGAAAATTGTTTAATCCCTCCTTCAAATTTAAATGATAGTCTTCCTGGGTAGAGTATTCTTGGTTCAAGGCCCTTCTGTTTCATTGCATTGAATGTATCATGCCACTCCCTTCTGGCCTGTAAGGTTTCTGCTGAGAAGTCTGATGATAGCCTGATGGATTTTCCTTTGTAGGTGATCTTTTTTCTCTCTCTGGCTGCTTTTAATACTCTCTCCTTGTTCTTGATCTTTGCTATTTTAATTATGATATGTCTTGGTGTTATCTTCGTTGGGTCCCTTGTGTAGGGAGATGTGTGCACTTCCATGGCCTGAGGGACTATTTCCTTCCCCAGATTGGGGAAGTTTTCACCAATTATTTCTTCAAAGATACTTTCCATCCCTTTTTCTCTCTCTTTTTCTTCTGGTACCCCTATAATGCAAATATTGTTCCATTTGGATTGTTTGCACAGTTCTCTTAATAGTCTTTCATTCCTAGAGATCCTTTTTTCTCTCTCTGCATCAGCTTCTTTGTATTCCTGTTCTCTAATTTCTATTCCATTTACCATCTCCTCTACCTCATCTAATCTGCTTTTAAATCCCTCCATTGTATGTTTCATTTCAGCTACTGTATTTTTTAAGGTATCTGTCTTCCCCCTGAATTCATCCCTTAGCTCTTGAATATTTTTCTGGAGCTCCAGTAATATGCCTAAGAGTTTTATTTTGAATTCTTTTTCAGGAAGATTGGTGATTTCAGTCTCATTGAGCCCTCTTTATGATGTTTGAGGGATTTTGGATTGAACAAGGTTCTTCTGCCATTTCATAATCCGATTGGATAGTGAGAAATATTAGCTTTGTGTAGCCGGTGCCCTCTAGTTCCCAGAAGCTCTCCTCTTCAGAGCTTCCCAGTACCTGGAGCAATGGCAGTGGTCACAGGAAAGCAATGCCTGTGCCTACCCTAAGGAGCAAGCCCTTTCCTGCTTTCCTACTGCAGTGTCTGCCTTTGCTGTCAGGGCCATTGAGCTGCATGCAGGGAGCAGACTCTGCATTAAGGCCCTGAGCTGCCCTAGGTGGAGCTGGCCTCTGGCTGGCCTGGAGCAATGGTGGGGGTCACAGTCGAGTGACCTGGATGCCTGCTGGGAGGACCAAGCCCTTTCCTGCTTCCTGGCCATAGTGCCTGCCTCCGCTGTCAGGGCCAGTGAGCTGCGCACAGGGGGAAGTCTCTCTGTTAAGCTGTGTAGTTGCTGTAGGCAGGGCTGGCCTGGAGCAATAGCAGGGGCAGTGGGTTTGCGCACAGGTACCAGCAGGGACGAAAAAGCATCATGCTCCTTATTGCAGTGGGGGGCCTCAGGGCTGCGGTGCCAGCCAGGGAGATGGAGTGCCTAAAGATCCTGAAAGTTCCCAACCTGCTGTTCTGAGTGTATCAGGATGATTTTGTCCACCTATTCTTTCTCCTGAATCCTTGCCCCTTTAGCAGCCCTCTCCCTGTTGGGAAGTCTTTCAATGTGCTCACCTTTCTTTTGTCCCACCTTTCTTTTGGCAGATGTTTGTGGGAACCTTTTCGCAGTCTTGGTCTCTGACTTCAGTTTGCTGCACCCTTCTAATCTCCAGAGTACCATGCAATGTGCGTGTTTGTGCTCCCGGCGTAGATTTCTAGGGCTGGGTATTTAGGAGTCCTGGGCTTATATTCCCTCCCTGCTCCGATTCTCTTCCTTCTGTTGGTGAACTGGGGTGGGGGCAGTGCTTGGGTCCTGCCGGGTCACAGTTTTATTACTTTACCCTTTTCTGTGAGATGTTTTCTTTTCGCAGATGTAGACTGGCTTCAGCAATCTTATTTCTAGTTACTCTTTTAGTAATAGCTGTATTTGCTGTATTTTCATATTATATATGGTTTTGGGAGTAGATTTCTGCCTCACTTCTCATGCCGCCATCTTTTTTCCTCCCCTAGACTTGACCTTTTAACTCTGTCTCCTAATTGCTATTTAGTCCGCCAAGTTAAAATTTTGAAGTTCTCCTAAAATCCTTCTTTTCTATCATTTTTCCACATCCAGTCTGCCGCCTAACCCTTTCCATTCAGATTCATAAATATTTTAGACCCATTTTCCCTTACTCTATACATCCAATCTCTACTAAGTCCTTCCTGTTTTATCCTTATGTCTTTTCCTCTTCATGTGCTGCCTCAGTGAAGAGCCTCATAACCTTTCACTTAGTTTGCTACAAATTGCCTCCTGTCAGGTGGCCTTCTCTCCAGTCTGTCTTCTTGCCAGCATTTCCTCTAGAAAGAGTTATCTTTCTAGTATACACATCTACTCATTTTATTTCCCTGTTAGTGACATCTGATTGCCTACAGGGAAAAAAATTGAAATTTCTTAATAAGGTTTTTGTAAAAGCCCTTCAATCTCTCTATATCCCCAATGTGGAGATCTGGACACACTGAACTCCTTGCCTGTTCCTAAGCGTGCTCTGCCCCCCCTCTGCCCTTTGAGTGTACTCTGCCCTCCCACACCTCCTCCCTTTGCCCTTTGAATTCTTACTTATAGGCTCAGTACCAGCAGACCCTCACCTTCCCTCTCTCCCCATATCTAAAATTAATTACTTCTCATCTTTATACCCATAGCGCTTTAGAGATAATTTTGTTCTAATACTTAACCATGTTGATTTGATAACTATATAAATGTCTTGTTTCCTCTGCCAGATTCTGGTTTTCTTAAGGAAACTAGAGTTGTTTTATATTTGTCATAGTTCATTCCTGATAATCGTTGGTGATTATTAAATAAATGCTTGAATGAACCAAATTATGTATACACATACACACAATTTTGCACTATGTCATTTATACTAAATTGTGTGTGTTCTCAGAGAACAGACTATGGTTGCCATAGCAAAGGTGGGGGTGACAGGATGGGTGAAATAGGTGAGGAGGGAAAAATTAATGAAAATGTTTGATACCTTGATCTGGGTGATGGTTACATGAGTATATACACATGTCAAAATTCATGGAGCTATACACTAAGATGTGTGCATTTTATTGTATGTACCTGAATAAATAAATAAGTTTTATGTGTTCTTAAAAGTATTCTTTTTTGTAACCATTTCTGCAGCCCCATACAAAATATAAACTCATTTAAATAAGAAATTTTCCATTTATTTCATAGGTTTCTGTGTCCCACAGTAGCACTCAATAAATGTTAATTTGAATACCAACATTTAAATGTCATATATATGAATTATTAGTAATAGCAGATTCTAGAATAGGATTAATATATCACCTTGTTTGTTAATCATGTTATATTGAGGCTTTTCTTATATGCATTGATTTTTTTAAAAGTATATAGTTTAGTTTACAACCTATCCACATCTATTTAATACACAGTTGTGTGTTAAAACTAATTTTTACTTTTTTATAGGTTTTAAAACGACAAGGCTATGATGCTGCTTGTGATATATGGAGTCTTGGTGTCCTCCTCTATACAATGCTTACTGGGTGAGTGTGTACTATATGTTGTAAGCATTTATTCGTCAATATTTTGTATAAAATATCTAGGTTTATTTTTTAAATCTATGTTGTAATGTCTTTCCATGTTTTCTCATGTTATCTAATAATATAACTTTGTGCATGTGTGTGTGTATACCACATTTATAGCTATATCATTACTGATTTTCTACAATGTAGTATTTACTTATGTCTTGAGGTCTTAAACTGATTTTTTTCCATGCTTTTTTGTACTCTTGTTATGTCTTAAACATACACTATTTTAAGTATTTTATTCTATAATGTGCCAATTCTTAAAATATTTATATTATTGTATAGTAAATCTTTTTAATATTTCATAGCTAACACTTGACCTGGTGCTTTTTGGAGCTTCATGTTGTTGATATTTTTCACTTTAATAGATTTCAATAAAGTTGTAATTTAATTACTCAGAGTACTTTTGCACACTCAAACTTAGATTACCAACCAAAAAAAGAAATTGTATTGAGTAACATTTTTATTTTATTATAAATCAGTTACACTCCATTTGCAAATGGCCCTGATGATACACCAGAGGAAATATTGGCACGGATAGGCAGTGGAAAATTCTCACTCAGTGGTGGTTACTGGAATTCTGTTTCAGACACAGCAAAGGCAAGTATGGCTTCCTAATAATCAGCTTTTGAAAAAATAATTTTCCATAATCTCTGGTGAGAAGAAATATCAGTTAGAACTTTGTTTATAAAGTAGTATTTTGAGGTGGTGTTACCAAATAACTTGAGCTCAGAAATGGACCAATTATTTTGATTCTTTTTCCAGAAGGCATTTGTTTGGCGTTATTATCTATACATCTAAAGCTCCTTCTTACTGACAAACATGATGAATAATAATGGTGGTAGTCTTCATGATTTGTGTGCCTATTCTGTGCCTCACACTGCACTTTACCTAAATTTTCCCATTTAATCCTCTTAACAACAATACAAAATAGGTGGTAGTATCCCCATCAGTTCAAAGAAGGAAACCAAGGCCCAGAATTTTAGCATGAAGTTGTCCATAGGTACACACAAGGTATGTGTGGGCACTTCAAACTAAATAGCTGATTTCAAAGGTCTTGTTCCCTAGAATAACTACACTATGTTCTGATTTTAGTCCATATTATGAAGAAAGGGGTCTCATCTTTTTTACAATAAACATTAGTATAGTTGTATAGTGTCTGCTTGAAATCCATTTAAAAAGCCTTTCTCATTGTTAAGATCTTCATTCCGTGAATAGCACTGATTTGCTTTCCAACTCTGCTCTAGTTTCACTTTTTTCATGGAAATTTTTCTTTTAAAAATAAGAGCAAAGTTTTCCACTTCAGAATAAGAAAAACAAAGAGAAGATGAGGAAGATACATACTAGTAAAAATGCTTACTGGTTTTTCTTAGAGTAGCCATTGCAGGGTAGCAGTAGGTAGAGAACTGTCCCTGAACAACTTGGCCAAAAGTATCCTGGTTAACACACTGATTTGATTAAAATCATAACAGAGACTTGTTGTGCCCCTGGGCAGTTTTGCAACCTTTTATGCATTTGAAGCATGTTTGCCCAGTTTCAGAATTTGCAAGGGGAGATCCGTAATTGTTTTGCTTTTGATTTCTAACTCTGTTGAGTAGCTTATTCCAGTACTTAGCTGTTCATGATAGCTAGAGGTAAGAACTGTAAATATGTAATAGCAGAGGAGTACTTGGAATAACATCTCCCCAGTTCCCAATATCTAGTCAATCACCAAGTTCTGTCGGTTCTTTCTCTTAAGTACTGCAGTTCCATCTGTATTTCTCCATCTCTTATACCATTCCAAAGCAATCTTCTCTGGCCAGTGTTAAATTGGAGTCTTCAGGCTTGCCCTCTCCAATCATTCCTCCACACTTACTGAGTATAATATCTCTAAAGCACAAAGCTTACCACATCATGCCTTTGCCTCTAATGATTTATCACCTCCAGAAAAAGTCCAAGTTTACTAATATGGCTTACAAGGGGCTTCCTTCATGATCTGGTCCCTTCTCACCTCTCTGACTTTATCTCCTGCCACATTCTGCTTTACAGTTTATGCTACAGCCACTTTGCCCACCTTTCACTTCATTAATTGTGACATGTTCTCATACATCTGAGGACTTTTCCTCCAAACACACCCTGTTATATATCCCTGAAATGCTCTGTTTCTCCCTTCCCTTCTGTAACCCAGTGCCCATGTATCCTGCAGGGCTCACATTTCTCTAAAGGAGCCACCTCTAAGCAACCCCACCCTATTCAGATCAGGTGTCTCACGGTGTTCCTCTAGCTGCCCCTCATATTTATTCATTCCTTCACAGAACTTGTTATTTGCGTTGTAATTGATTCTTTGTCTCACTCTTACTGGGCTGAGAACTTCATGAGGTCAGAGTTCATTCCTATCTTGTTCACTCCAATACCCATGCCTAGCAGAATGTCTGGTCTTTAATGGATATGCAATAGATATATTTTGAATGAAAAGTAAAACAAGTGGTAGATGGCTTTTATAAATCACAAATATGTTATTTTGGAGAGTATAAAACTATAGCAAGTATGTGTATCTGTGTTCCATGCATAAGAAAGTATTTGGTTGGATCAAAAGCATTTGTCTCTGCAAGCCTGGAATTCTGGGTGTTCTTCATGTTCTTTTGCTCCTCTGTATTTCTGATTATTTTATAATACCCATGAGTTGCTTTTGAAGTAGAAAAAAATAAAAAGAACTCTGTAATCTTGCAGGGGGGGGACATTTAGAGGTCTCCAATTAAATATCTATTATTTGACAGTTCTAGTTTTCAGTATTACAGTCAGCACAAATAAAGTCTAAAGTAGTTAAAAATTACTTAGAAATAAACCTACAAAAATACAGAAAACTTAGACTGTCTGAGGGAAGAAAAAGACAAAGTACTTAAAGATACATAAAATATATACCTTTATCCTCTATAATACACCGAAATTACTGTTACTCAAAGAGAAGAAAACAGACAGGTTTTTGCATTTAAAAAAAAAATTGTCAAGTAGAATTGCTTTGAGCCCAAAGGTCTTCTACTGGGGAAAAAATAGTGTCATAGAAGCTAAGGAAGAACTTTCAACAGTATCAAGTGCTATAGAAAAACAAGCAAAAAGGCTTAAGCTTGTTTTTTTATTATTCTTCCTTTTATAGGACCTGGTATCCAAGATGCTCCATGTGGACCCTCATCAGAGACTGACTGCTGCCCTTGTGCTCAGACACCCTTGGATTGTCCACTGGGACCAACTGCCGCAATACCAACTCAACAGACAGGATGCACCACACCTTGTCAAGGTGAGCAGCCCCATTCAGGCCCATGTCCTCCGGGAGACACTAGGAGATGCCCTGTCCATGCCTGCAGTGCCTTTTCCTTTCCCTCTCAGCCAGCATCTGACTCCCAAGAGGGAGTCTCTCACAGTGGCTGTCTTAGAAAAGGAAAAGTAAAGGCATGCCAGGACATCATAATAAAACTAGTTTAAGAATGACTTCTGAGGTGGTAAATAGAATAGAAACTAGAGAACAGGAATACAAAGAAGCTTGAGGCACAAAGAGGAAAAATATCTAAGAATGAAAGAATATTGAGAGAACTGTGTGACCAATCCAAACGGAACAATATTCATACTATAGGGGTACCAGAAGAAGAAGAGAGAGAAAAGGGGATAGAAAGTGTCATTGAGGAGGTAATTACTGAAAACTTCCCCAATCTGGGGAAGGAGATAGTCTCTCAAGCCACGGAGGTGCACAGATCTCCCAATACAAGGGACCCAAAGAAGACAACATCAAGACATATAATAATTAAAATGGCAAAGATCAAGAACAAGGAGAGAGTATTAAAAGCAGCCAGAGAGAGAAAAAAGATCACCTACAAAGGAAAATCCATCAGGCTATCATCAGACTTCTCAGCAGAAACTTTACAGGCCAGAAGGGAGTGGCATGATACATTCAATGCAATGAAACAGAAGGGCCTGGAACCAAGAATACTCTACCCAGGAAGACTATCATTTAAATTTGAAGGAGGGATTAAACAATTTTCAGATAAAAAAAAGTTGAAAGAGTTTACCTCCCACAAACCACCTCTCCAGTGCATTTTGGAGGGGCTCCTATAGATGGAAGTATTCCTAAGGCTAAATAGATGTCACCCAAGGGATAGACAAAGAGCACAGAATATGATTCATAACATACAAAGAATGGAGGAGGAAGAAAAAGGAGGAAAAAAAACAAGAACCTTTAGGTTGTGTTTGTAATAGCACACGAAGTGAGTTAAATTAGACTGTTAGATACTAAGGAAATTACCCTTGGACCTTTCGTAACCACAACTCTAAAGCTTGCAGTGGCAATAAGTACATACCTATCAATAACCACCCTAAATGTAAATGGTCTGAATGCACCAATCAAAACACATGGAATCACTGAATGGATTAAAAAACAAGACCCATCTATATGCTGCCTATAAGAGACTCACTTCAAACCCAAAGACATACACAGACTGAAAGTAAAGGGATGGAAAAAGGTATTTCATGCAACCAACACAAAGAAAAAAGCAGGAGTTGCAGTACTTGTATCACACAAAATAGACTTCAAAACAAAGAAAGTCACAAGAGACAAAGGACATTACATAATAATAAAGGGTTCAGTCCAACAAGAGGATATAACTATTATAAATATCTAATGACCCAACACAGGATCACCTACATATGTGAAACAAATACTAACACAATTAAAGGGGGAAATAGAATGCAGTGCATTCATTTTAGGAGGCTTCAATACACCACTCACTCCAATGGACAGAAAATAAGTAAAGAGACAGAGGCACTGAACAATGTATTAGAACAAATGGACGTAACAGACATCTACAGAACACTCCATCCAAAAGCAACAGGATATACACATTCTTCTCAAGTGAGTGCACATGGAACATTTTCCAGAATAGACCAATACTAGGCCACAAAAAGAGCCTCAGTAAATTCAAAAAGATTGAAATTGTACCAACCAGCTTCTCAGATCACAAAGGTATGAAACTAGAAATAAATTACATAAAGAAAATGAAAAAGCATACAAACATATGGAGGCTTAATAACAGGCACCTAAATAATCAATGTATCAATGACCAAATAAAAACAGATATCAAGCAATATATGGAGACAAATGACAACAATAATTCAACAACACAAAATCTGTGGGACACAGCGAAGGCCATACTAAGAGGGAAATATATTGCAATACAGGCCTGCCTCAGGAAAGAAGAACAATCCCAAATGAACAGTCTAAACTCACAATTAATGAAACTAGAAAAAGAAGAACAAATGAGGCCCAAAGTCAGTAGAAGGAGGGACATAATAAAGATTAAAGCAGAAATAAAATTGAGAAGAATAAAACAATAGAAAGAATCAATGAAAGCAAGAGCTGGTTCTTTGAGAAAATAAACAAAATAGATAAATCCCTAGCCAGACTAATCAAGAAAAAAAGAGAGTCTACACACATAAACAGAATCAGAAATGAGAAAGGAAAAATCACCACAGACACCACAGAAATACAAAGAATTATGAGAGAATACTATGAAAAATTATATGGTAACAAACTGGATAACCTAGAAGAAATGGACAACTTTCTAGAAAAATACAACCTTCCAAAGTGGACTAAGGAAGAAATAGAAAATCTGAAAAGACCAATTATCAGCAATGAAATTGAATTGGTAATCAAAAAACTACCTAACAACAAAACTCCTGGACCAGATGGTTTCACTGCTGAATTTTATCAAACATTTAGTGAAGACCTAATACCCATCCTCCTTAAAGTTTTCCAAAAAGTAGAAGAGGAGGGAATACTCCCAAACTCATTCTATGAGGCCAACATCACTCTAATACCAAGACCAGGCAAAGACTCCACACAGAAAAGAAAATTACAGACCAATATCCCTGATGAACATAGATGCAAAAATACTCAACAAAATATTAGCAAACCAAATTCAAAAATACATAAAAAAAATCACCCATCATGATCAAGTGGGATTCATCCCAGGGATGCAAGGATGGTACAGCATTTGAAAATCCATCAGTATCATCCACTACATCAACAAAAAGGACAAAAACCACATGATCATCTCCATAGATGCTGAAAAGGCATTTGACAAAATTCAACACCCATTCATGATAAAAACTCAACAAAATGGGCATACAGGGCAAGTACCTGAACATAATAAAGGCCATATATGACAAACCCACAGCCAACATCATACTTAACAGCGAGAAGCTGAAAGCTTTTCCTGTAAGATTGGGAACAAGACAAGGATGCCCACTCTCCCCACTTTTATTCAATGTAGTTCTGGAGGTCCTAGCCACAGCAATTAGACAACACAAAGAAATACAAGGAATCCAGATTGGCAAGAAAGAAGTCAAACTGTCCCTGTTTGTGGATGACATGTTATTGTACATAAAAAACCCTAAAGAATCCACTCCAAAACTACTAGAACTAATATCTGAATTCAGCAAAGTTGTGGGATACAAAATTAATACACAGAAATCTTGCATTCCTATACACTAACAATGAACTAACAAAGAGAAATCAGGAAAACAATTCCATTCACAACTGCACCAAAAAGAATAAAATACCTAGGAATAAACCTAACAAAGGAAGTGAAAGACCTATACCCTGAAAACTATAAGACACTCTTTAAAGAAATTAAAGAGGACACTAATAAATGGAAATTCATCCCATGCTCTTGGCTAGGAAGAATTAATATTGTCAAAATGGCCATCCTGCCTAAAGCAATCTACAGATTCAATGCAATCACTATCAAAATACCTACAGCATTCTTCAATGAACTAGAGCAAATAGTTCTAAAATTCATAGGGAACCACAAAAGACCCCAAATAGCCAAAGCAATCCTGAGAAGGAAGAATAAAGCAGGGGGTATTATGCTCCCTGACTTCAGGTTCTACTACATAGCCACAGTAATCAAGACAATTTGGTACTGGTACAAGAACAGAGAGAGCCATAGACAGTGGAAAAGACTAGAGTCCAGATATAAACCCAACCATATATGGTCAATTAATGTATGATAAAGGAGCCATGGATATACAATGGGGAAATGACAGCCTCTTCAGCAGCTGGTGTTGGCAAAACTGGACAGCTACATGTAAGAGAATGAAACTGGATTATTGTCTAACCCCGTACACAAAAGTAAACTCAGAATGGATCAAATACCTGAATGTAAGTCATGAAACCATAAAACTCTTAGAAAAAAATATGGGCAAAAATCTATTGGACATAAACATGAGCAACTTCTTTATGAACATATCTCCCTGGGCAAGGGAAACAAAAGCAAAAATGAACAAGTGGGACTATATTAAACTAAAAAGCTTCTGTACAGCAAAGGACACCATCAGTAGAACAAAAAGACATCCTACAGTATGGGAGAATATATTCATAAGTGACAGATCCAGTAAAGGGTTGTCATCCAAAATATATAAAGAGCTCACACACCTCAAGAAACAAAAAGCAAATAATCCAGTAAAAAATGGGCACAGTAAAGAAGATGTGGTACATATACACAGTGATATATTATTCATCCATAAGAAGAAAACAAATCCTACCATGTGCAACAACATGGATGGAGCTAGAGGGTATTATGCTCAGTGAAATAAGCCAGGTGGAGAAAGACAAGTATCAAATGATTTCAGTCATCTGTGGAGTATAAGAACAAAGCAAAAACTGAAGGAACAAAAGAGCAGCAGAATCACAGAACCCAAGAATGGACTAACAGTTACCGAAGGGAAAGGGACTGGGGAGGATGGGTGGGAAGGGAGAGATAGGGGAGAAATCGGGACAGTACTATTAGCACACATAATGGGGCAGGCGGGGCACAGGGAAGGCAGTATAGCACAGAGAAGACAAGTAGTGACTCTATGGCATCTTACTTATTGATGGACAGTGACTGTAATGGGGTATGTGGGGGGGACTTGGTAATAGGGGAGTCTAATAACCATAATGTTCAAGTAATTGTACATTAATGATATCAAAATAACAAATAAAAAATAGAATGACTTCTGAATTTATCAATCAGATAAGCTTATGGATTTCCTAACTTCTTTATACTTTTCTTTCTTATGCACATCAAAAAGCAAACTCTTTGAAGGTGTCAGCAGGGGCAAAACACATCCAAAAGTGCATGCCTTGCTGCTGCTCATATGAAAGGATTGCAAAGGAAAAAAAAGTTGAATAGTCATGAGAAAAGTGAGGCCATCCCTGTCCTCACATCCATCGTTTTCACCTCCCCCATTGGCCTCTTCAATTTTAGTTAAATCCGAGTGTTTGACGAGTGTGGTGCTTTTCAATATGAGCCTAATAAAATCTGTATTAATTTGCATTTGAAGAAATTATCTGGGGAAAAATATCTTCATTTCATATTATGTGTACATGTGACTACCCATGTCATTATTGCTATGACCTTTCTTTCCTATTTTCAGGGTGCCATGGCAGCTACATATTCTGCTTTAAATCGTAATCAATCACCAGTTTTGGAACCAGTAGGCCGTTCTACTCTTGCTCAGCGGAGAGGTATTAAAAAAATCACCTCCACAGCCCTGTGAAGTGACCTCAGTGAGATATTTGGTACCATGGTGTAAGCTGATAGCACAAGTTCTGGCGACAGGTAGCACATATCTGAGAGACACCTGCAAGCACATACTGTCCCAGCTGGTACCCATAATGCTGCTGCTCCTGCTGCTGCTCCTGCTTTCGTCTCTTCTCGCTTTAAATGATTGTTAGCAAGTTAGATTTTCCTGGAGCTTCGGTTGAAATGAAAATGGAAACATGATGAAGATATATTCACTGAATCAACAAGAATATTGAACATATGAATACCACCTAAAAATACACTGAAAAAGTACTCTACACCATATAGCATTATTTTTATAGGAAATATTTCATGTCCCTTAAATATTCTTTGTTAGTTTATAGGGATGGACAGTTTATGTTAAGCACTTAGCTTAAACAATCCGTTTATATTAGCACTGTACCCCTTGTGCCATCCAACATTTTGTATGTTTTTGTAAACAGTTCATATACAGTACATTTCTGTACTGCTTTCTTTAATGTATACATGCCTTGTTTAACTTGGAATCTGTTATTATTAATCGACTATTAAATCTGGTTAAATAGTTCACCTGATTTAACAGTATTGTTGGACAGCCCTAAAAATGGCCAGATTGTGGAACAGCTGTTGAATGTAATACTTCCAAAATGTACATATTTTTCCCTGTGTCTGTTTCACTGGTTTGTTTATTTGTTCATTTCTTAAAGTAAGGTGCTCTGTCAGACTAACCTAGAGAGCTGTTAAAGGTAGAGAAAGTTGTATGTGTGTGGCATGACATCAAGAGTACACCTGTGAAGTTAGTCCATATACTTTGCAACTTCTTAGGGTTCTTTTTCCTTAATTAAGGAAGTAGTCCTTGCACTTTTAAATAGTATCCATATTTAGTATTTGGCATATAATTTGAGATTTTTCCAATATATATCAAAGGCCTTTAAGAGTCATGGTGAAGAGATTCGTGAAGAAAAATTTAGCAACAGGTCATTCAAGTTCCATCAGGTATTTCATGTTTAAAAAGATCAAATTGCAGAATTTAGTATATGAACAACAGGATAACTGTTCTTGTGTACCTGCAAGAAAAGTATGCTTTTTTGGAAAAGGATAAATCATAATGAGTTATACTCCATTACGATACACTATATTAAACACTTAATTTGAATATAATAAACACAGGCCTCTACATGAAATTGGATTTAAACTTTCTTATTCTAGGAAATGAAACTTCTTGATCAAATAATATGTGTTCTAACCTGAAATAGCTAAGGGAGGCTAAGTGAATGTTCAGCATTGAGTGTTTTCTGAATTCAGCCTGATGATTTATTGCCATACAATGCTTCCTTAACTTCAGAAATGATCAGTTTTCATAATGGTCACTGGGTCTACGTAGATCACAGTATTCACCATCTACACCTAATTTGGTAGTTTCACAATTTTATTTGATTAAAGAACCTTCTGTATCCATTACCCACATTTTTGCTAAGCTATCCGGCGTACATCACTATATGTAATATGAAAAACACATGAGCAAGGAAAAAGTGATTTAGCTTGCTTCACCAAGAAGGTGCCCAAACAGATCTTTCTTAGTCATGTACTAAGTAAGCCATTTACATCAGAAATCTTTTTTTCTGCCAGAAGCTTTAAATCTTCTCCTGAGAATACAAAGCCAAGAAAGCAGCGTGGTTTATCTAAATGTTTTGGAAGCCTCTTGTTATTCTTAGTTTCTCCTCTATTAAATGAAAGAGAAAGGAAAAATAAGTAACATTCCTTTTGCTTAAGTGACACAAAATGTTAGTGCATATAAATCAAATGCAAGTCTATCTTCTAAATAAGTATAAGAGGAGGGATTTCAGAAGATCTAGATGGAGAAAGTTTTTAAAAATTCTTGGGTATATGGATGCTTACTATTTAAAGCTGCTTTCCACTGCCTGGAAAGAAAGCTTTTTTTCCTCTCTTTCTCCCCTCTGTTTAGTGTTTCAAACCATGGTCATCCCAAATTTTTGTCACTTTTTAAATGTTAATGTAACTGGGCAAAAAAAGATATATTTTCAGATTTTTGGCATTGATGCTATTCCATAATTGCTTAGTGCATTGTCCATCATCGTCTTTTCAAACCAGAAGTAAATGTGTAAATCTTTATAAATTATCTAGTCCAGTTTGTTCATTACTGCATGTAAAACCAGAAACCCAAAGCAAAGATGAGAATTCCCATTCATTTTTTTTTCCTCATAACACTGTGCTGCCTTCCCTTCATATTATCACCTGACCAGGAGCTGAGTTGTTTGTTTGAAAACCACATACTTCTTGGGGCTGTCCTCTACTGGGATATGAAGGCCAAGTTTATTGCTTTCAAAGACACAGCCTTCTTTGCCTTGTCCAACTGCCAGTTTTATTGGAGAAAAGCAGGTTATATGTTCGAAAAATGGAGGCTTCTTGCCTAAAAAGCAGTTCATGAGCATTATTTATTTCATCTATGGTTCTGGTGTTGCCTTGGCCTTTAACTGACAGCAGACAAACTTGGCCAACAATGCACTCGAAGTGTAGTGCTTGTGCTAGGTTAACCTTTCTGTTGCTGCTGGTTACCAGGACTTCTCCCAGAGGGTTTTAGTTCAGTCTTAAAGATAATTCAGTGTGAAAGAAGGAACTAAACTGTAGGGCCACTTTTACAAACCCCCTCTTAGCTTACACTCCAAAATAATATGCAGAATAATGGACTGCATTTAACATTGCCAAGCACATATTAGAAAATATGGATTACACTACCTTGTGTTCTGTATCTTCCCTTTCAAGTGATGGTGTTAAAGTAAGGTAAGTTTTCTGTCCTTTTAATTTTTTATATAAATCATTTTGGCTCATTCTAATTTATAGAAATGTCTTCTTCCTAAGCACAGTAGATCCTTGACTTTAATAGATTTGATATGGATTCATTTATTCACAAGCAACCCCAAACATCCAAAAATGTAATAATTTTGACAAGGTAGAGTCAAGATACTATGAGGCCGGCATGGGAAATATCATTTAGCAAGTGTCTGGAGAGGATATGGTGTGTGTGCGGTAGATTCCACATGGCACGTGTGGTGGGCTGCAACCATTTCCCATCTGTTTTTAAGAAGTGGTTGCTGTTAGGGCCAGGGGACATCGTGGGAGGTGGGGCTGGCCTGTTAGCTATGCCCTGCACCCTCATCATAGGAAGAACTTGAAGGAGAGGAGGAGTGCAAGGCTCCATGAGTAGGCAGAATGGGTTGGGTAAGGAAGAGGCTGGAGTAGGTCCAGTCTGGGGGGAGAGTTAGCAGAAAAGCACTCAAGATTTGGGGGCCTTGGTACAGATGTGCTTAATCACCATGGAAGCCAGCAATACACACCTCATATTCTCTATTTCCTGGCCTTTATAAATGCCCTAAAATATTTTGACTTGCTTTCTATTTTATAGAGAAAATCATCTCTTACGGTGATACTGAGCATTTGAGATTTATGAAGGCATTAGGACAGTATCTCAGGAATGTAGAGTCAGAAATCTGTTCTTTGTGATTAACAAATATGATGGGTTCCATGTCTGACCCTTGGTGCTTAAACCAGGAGGTTTCAATCTAGTCCTAGAGTTACGTCCCTCTTAAAGGTCCAACTCCATGTGAATAACAAACTGAATGTATACTTTGATCCTCATTTAGTTCACAGATAAATTGACTTAACTCAGTATTTTTATTTCGATTAATGAAAATAGTCCTCTTCTCACCTCCAGATTGCTTACATTTTGCTGGTCTCCCCAAGTGAGCATTGGTGGAGATCAAAATGAAGGAATGAAATTCACTTTCTTGGGACTGTGGTATTCTGCAGAGCTACACTTAACCACTTTTTCTAGTGAAGAATCTACAGTGATAATACCTAAATATGAATGGCCAAGCAGAATTTGTATCTACAGTGTGCTCTATGTATTTTTGACACTGCTGTATTCTGTGTGTTCGAGTGACTTTAACTGGTTCCCAATGTGACAGTGTTCACAAAGAATTCTAGTAACTAAGTCAACTTAATTTTCTTAAGCCTTGTATTACTATCAGTCTCACATTTTACCACTTGATTCCAGTCTTTTAACTGTTCATAACAGGGCACACCAAGGATTGGGATGAGAGCCTACTTCCTACCTCTTAAGGCACTTTCCTCATTATTTTGCCATATAACCTTGAAGTGCATGATAAGCTGTTTAAATCCATGACTTCTCCCAGAGCAATTAGTAAAGTATATGACATTGAATAGAGATTAGTGGAAAGGAAAATTTAGAGACTAAGTTCAGAGGTGCAAACCTCAAGATAACCTCTTTAGAGCACATACCATTTGAGTACAATATATGTAAACGTACGTGAGAAGAGAGTCTCTATAATAGTTCTAAGTAGATTAGTTCAATATCTAATGGAAGTGAAAATTTTTACTCCTGTTATCACTATAGTACTGAATGAACTGTATACTGAGTTTTTCAAACAAGTATTTAAAGTAGAACTTTTAAATACAAAGCAAGGGCATAAGGAAAAAGGTTTTGGTTTGTGTTTCTCTAAATGTAGTTTACCATCTAAAGCTTTGTTTTTAATTTTAAAAAAGCTTCAAGGTATTGCCATTCCTTAGCATCCTTAATAATTATGGATGATGAGTTTTTAACTCTTAAAATTATGTACATGTATTAGGTTTATCTTAACTCTTACCCTAAGCAAAAGGGAAGGTATACACCTAAGGGATTTAATTATTTTGCATTTTTGGCCATGGGTGGGAATGGGGTGGGTATCTACTTAAAAAGTTTTTAAAAAAGAAAAAAATCACAAATATTTTTCTACTGTTACATATGATCTTACTTTATACTAGTTCCTCTCTAGTAAGGCATGCCAGAAGCCCAAGGTACCATATAATGAATTCATATGTATTGTACCTTTTATTGGTGGTTAAAATCACATCAGATGCTTGGCACTGCTGCCATAATTATGAAATGCTTGTAAAGGATTAAATATCACCAAATACTTTAAATTGTTTTACATAAGAGTCTAATCTGGGAAGTTTTCGAATCATACTATTAATGTGTAATCTAAGCTCTTTTAGATATATCCATGAATAATCCTGGAACAATATTGCTTATATTCCTGTCACAGAACAGGTTTTGTAATCTTTAAAAGAAATGAAAATTTATATAATAAAGTTTCAAATAAATGTATGTATGTCTTTCATCAGATTATTTTGATTATATGATTAATCCAACATATCAAATTATCCTCTCCAAAGGCTAAATTTTTCAAATTGGAAATGACAGAACTTAAAACAGGAATGTTTCTACATTAACAAGAAGTGGAAAGTAATTTTTCTATGCAAAACCTTCCTTAGCCCTAAGAGTTTGTCAAATCAAACTCACATCAGTCACAGAGTTTACCCAATACCAAACTTGATTAATGACTCGAAGGCTACAGGGTTGCTCATCAGGGACAGATGAAACAGTCCTTAAGAATAAGTCCAAGATTGTCAGACAGCTTCAAAATGCCCTTTTTCTCCCTCCCTCATTATGGTGCATTTTGGATTCAGAATTAAAGGACAATGTATGCAGAGACATTGTTTAAACAAAGGGAGCCATTTAGTTTTGCAACATCGCCCCCACTTTTTTTCTCCTTTGATAATGTGGTTGATTTTAATCACAAGAGCAGCAATAAAAGTAACAAAAACAAGCATTACTAAACAGGTTTAACAAAGTTGCAGGAGCACAAGGTTGATATATAAAAATCAATTGAATTTCTCTATAGCAACAACTGAAACTTTTAAATAGCTTTGTTCAGGCTCAATTGATATAATAAACCACATATATTCAAAGTATAGTTTGACAAGGTTTTACATATGTGTGTATATACACGTATATTTATACAATCAAGAAAATGAACATATCACCCTCAAAAGCTTTCTTTGCCTCTTTACAATCCTTCCCTCTCACCTTTCCAGGTCCTTTCTCCATCTTCATCTGTTTTCTATCACTGAATTAGTTCACATTTTCTGTATTTTTATATATATGGAATCATGGATTATGTACTCTTTTTGGCCTGGTTTCTTTCCCTTAGCACTATTTTGAGCTTCATCCATGTTGTTGCCTGTGATGCTTTGAGTTTCTTGGATCTATCTGGGCTTATCATTTTCATGAAATTTGAAACTTTGTTCAGCCATTATTTCTTCAAACATTTTCTATGCTCCCCTCTCTCCTCTCCTTCAAGGAATCTAACACGTGTATTAAGAGACATGTTAGGACTCATTATCTCACTGATGCTCTGTTTTTGTTTTTGATGGGGGTTTTTTTTAGTGTTTTTTGTCTGAGTTTCATTTTGAATAGCTTCCTATTGCTTCAAATTTACTAATTTTTTTGTCTTCAGAGTTCAATCTGCCATTAATTCTACCTAGTAAATTCCTCCACTCAGACATTGTAGTTTTCATCACTAAAGTTTCAATTTAGATCTTTTTTTAATATTGTTCATGTCACTAGTTAACATGCTTCATCCTTCCCCTAGTTTCTTGAGCAGACAGGATACACTTATAGGAACTCTTCCAATGTCTTAGTCCACTAATTATAGCATCTGGATCCATTTTGATTGAATGAATTTCCTCCTAATGATAGGTTACTTTTTCTGCTTCTTCGTGTATCTGGCTTTTTTTAATCAGATGCCAGTGTGTGTATTTTACCGTCTTGAGTGCTGAGTATTTTTGAACATCCCCTTTTTATACCTCATTAATTACAGTTTAATGAGTCCCCATTCTCCAGCCAACCATGCCTCATAAATTCCAGTTTTATAATAAGTCTTCTCTACAGACCAAGTATACCTTGTTAAAAGCATTTTAGAGATAAGGACTTCTATTTCTTTCTGCTAGTAAATATCAGCACATTTAGAAGGAAATTTGAGCTCATTGACTCCTGGTAGAAAGGGAATGGGTTACATAGTTTTGCATTTAGTCCTTTCCTTTCAGTTGACATTTTTTTTTATTATGATGGTGTATTAGTTTGCAAGGGCTGCCATAACAAAACACCACAGACTGGATAGCTTAAAAAACAAATTTATTTTCTCACAGCTCTGGAGTCTGGAAGTCCAAGATCAAGATTGGGTTGGGTTCTCCTGAGACCTCTCTCCTCTGCTTGCA